AGAGAACCTGAAGAACAGTCTGCTGACAAATGCTGTGCCCTTTACTCCATTGGAAACCTCTCAAACTTGAAAGACTGTTCTCCTGAAACAATTCACGTAATAAGAATAAACCGTATTAGAATTTTAAGTTCCCTTAGTGGGTGCTTACTATTTGCTTCACTCAAAGTCCTCTGTATAGACTCCCTCCTTTAAATGCTAATAACCTTAAATTGGGGTAATTCAGCCTCCATTTTCAAACAGAAAAAAACGTACTGACTGCCAAAAGCACAATTTTAAATGACAGTAAAGAAAGAAGGCTTTTAAAAAGTGGGAATCAACATTAGAAAAAGAGAGAACAAACACAGGGTTTTGGTTTTTGTTAATGTGGTCAAAGGGGTTTATTTCTTACGCATCTCCCAATACATCACTCTATCAAAGCAGACCTTAGCTGAAGTTCCTGTTTTAGTGACCTTGGCACATCTTCAAAAGGCTGTGGAAGTTTAAACATAAAAGGCAAAGCCCCAGCTGGGGGCTCCAAGTTGTCCCATAACACCAAAAGGTTTGCGGGTTCGGCCCAGTGGGGTGTGTGCGGGAGGCTGTGCGGGAGGTTGGCAATCCATGTTTCTCTCACCCCCTTCCCGCCCTCTCCCCTCCCCCCCAAAATCAGTGAATGTATCCTTGCGTGAGGATTTAAAAATAAAAATAAATAAATTAAATAAAAAATACAGAGGGCAAGGCAATTTGCACCAAACTTTTTTTTAAACATTGTAACACTTAAAAGATATGTGCCAATCAATTATCTGAAAATAAAATTCATATGTATTAAGCACTTCTTTCTACAACCATGTCAGATGATTATGTTATAACAGAGGTCTACCCCCATTAAATTGTATACACACACACACAATGTGTCAAGAGAAGGGATAACTATTTAGGGAAGTGAAACTGGTCTTCATGAAGGAGGTAACATTAGAGCCAGAGTTCAAAGAAGAAACAGAAGTTTGCTAGGCACAAAAACAGGATGGGAAGAGAGCAAGCTATGAAAAACACTGAACAAGTATAGACCTGTTTATATTTTAGTGACCTTGGCACATCTTTAAAAGGCTGTGGCAGTTTAAACATAGAAGGCAAAGCAATTTGCCTTAAATTTCTTTCACACATTATTTCAAACATTTTATTAAGGTCTCATGTGTGCCAGGCCCTGGGATACACAGATTCTGTGCCCTCCACAAGTGAAAATCTAGTGGCGAAGCACGTAAAAACGTAATTATAACATCTAATGGTATTATAGAACAGCAGTTGAGATTTCAGAGTATGACAGGAATTCAGCCTGGTGGCCAGATGAGCTCAGGGGCAATCAGAAAAACTTTCCTGAAGAAGGTAAAATTTAGTTTAAATCATAAAGGAAGAAAAGGAAAAAGGCTGAGCACAGGGTATAGGGAAGGACAAGGACAAAAGGCCAAGGACCCTTAGGAGCCATACCAAGGAGTCTGGTACTTAACACACAAGCAAGAAGCTGATAGAGTTTTTTAAACAACAGGGTGACTCGATATTTGTTGTTTGGTAAGGTGACTCAGGTGACAATATGGCAGAGAAAGAAGATAGTGGAAGGGAGAAAGAACACTGAGCTCACACCAAATATGATAGAGGCCTAAAGTAAGGCTCAAATGGCACAAGTTTACTAAATGAATGAAGGATTTCATGAAGAAAGAAGAGATAAGGGAGAAAAATTTACAAACACTGGGCTGAGGCATCTATGAGAATTCAGGTGGCTACATTCAGAAGGTAGTTGGAAATGCAGATCCCAAGTGAGTTTTCTTACTCAGCTAAGGCCATGGGTACACCATTAAGCTAAGCAACTATAGAAGAGAAGGGAGTTGATAGGTTTAATGTCCTGTGCATGTCGATCAGCCACATGGTGATCTCCAACAGGCAGGTGCACACACAAGTTTGGACTGAAGATGGCAACCTGGGATTCCCCGGGGCAGAGGGCAGCGGCCATGGCCAACAGCACACAGGAAGATCTCCCGGGGAACCCATAACTCAAGAGATGACCTATGAAATAATAAAGCTAATGTTAACCTTACACTTACATGGCTCATTTAATCCTCACAACCATGTATGCAGCAGGCAAGTACCATTATCCCATTTTACATGCGGTTGATAATTTTCCCAATATCATAAGACAATTAAGGAACAATAAAAAAGCAAGGCTAGGAAAGATTAGAGGACAACCAGGAGCAAGAAATGTTCAAAATCAAGTTAAACAATTCAAGAAGTAACCTATGGCCAGTATCATGGAAAATTTAAGTAGGACAAAAAAATGGAGAAAATAAAAAGGAGGGTAGCATATGGGATATTTCACAATTTGGGGACATTAATAGCTACAATGTACTTTACTGCTACAGTTAGTTTCAGGAATGACAAAGAAATATATTGGACTGGGTTGCAAAATGAGTTGAGGAAGTAAAAACACTAGTCATAAGACTAGTCTTGAGAGAGGTTTAGCAATAAAGACTGTAGGCACTAATATTTACTAAGTCAGTAACACTGTGCTAGACACTAGGGCAAGTTGTACAACATTTCTCATTTAACATTCCATTTTAAAAGATGCAAAAGATTCAGAAATCCTACAAATCTTGTTCAAGGTCCCACAGTAAGTGGCAGAGGAAACATTTACACCCAAGATGACATAGAGCTGTCTAGTTAACTATTTCAAAATATAACACACTGACTAAACAACTATTTCTTAAGAATCCAATCTATGTATTGGTTTTGTAATGTTCAGTGTGATAGCGTCTAATTTGGCTTAAGAAAGGATTAATAATCCTCTGTTGATTCCATCTAATGTATTCTTTATTTCAGTTATTGTATTCCTCATTTCTGACAGGTTCTTTTAAAAAAATTTTTTTTATTAAAAAGAGAAAATTAAACAAAATTCAACTGAGTAAATCTGAACATCTAATTGTCTTTATTAAGTAATTCATGAATTGGACAGCATCCCATCTAGTAAAGGAAAGGTTTTTATAGGCTGAAAGAGGACAGGACTAAGAAGTTAAAAGTAGATTATTTCAGGCAGGGACACCTTCCTGTGGGGGAAGGCGGGGTCTTATCAGGTAGGCTAATTTAGATTACATTTCTGGGAGAGATTGAAACTGCAATTAGAACAGGTATTAAATCTAGGTTTGGGATCATGGGGCTGTGGCTTTCTGTTTAACAAAAGCAACACAAAAAGAATTTGAGAAACAAATGTTAGCCTGCCTACATGGTCCTATTAATAAAGTTTTCAAAAGAACCTATAGATCTGTAAAACAAATAAATATTGAGTGCCTACTCTCAGTGAAGAACTTTGCTGTATCACTCTCAGGTTCAGTGGAGGGTAGAGAGAAACAACTGCAGATAAATTTACAATCCAAAACATAACATTTCTCCCTCCTCTTTCTAAACATAAGTTTGCCCTAATACAATCTCACAATATTTACATATTGAAGAATAAGGTCATTAAGTCAATAAGCAAAACGAAAGCACGCAGACTGGCTCTCTTAGATCATTTATCCTACGCGATAAATTCCAAAAATAAATTCGCTAAAAATTTTTTCCCATTTCCTTCCCAAAGGAAACAGGCACTCTTCCCTAGTTAAGACTTCCCATTCAAAAGTTCCTTCCTCTGTCCTCCAACTCATTCATTCTTTCATTGTGCCAGGTGCTGAGCAAGACTCCAGAGCAGTAAGACAGAAATAAGGTGGTCTAGGCCAGCTTTCATGAAATGTGCATGCTAGTGGAGGAAACAAAGCTTCTAAGTAACTAATGCAACTTGTTACCATGGATGACTGACTGCTGAAACAGCCAGCCGGGACACTTCCGCTGATACAGTGAGGAATACATAGGAATTGAAGAAAAGGGGAGAACAGTACCTAAGAGGGGGAGGAAACCCTTAAAGACCAGGAGACAGTAAACAGAAAAACGCTTTCTTGGAACAAAAATAAAACCAGTGTGGCTTGAGCCCAGAGAGTCAGGAGGAAAGTGGCCCAAAGTCAACTGGAGAAAGTAAGAGTGGCAGCAGTAGTTTGCTATTCATCCTAAGAGAAATGTGAAATCTTTGAGAGTTCTACGTGTGTGATGCATCGAGACACGTGCATTTTTAAATGATTACTTTCTTTCATTAAATGATTAGTCTTTAATGCCTCACAGTTCCTTCCAAAATCCATTCTCATGCCTAGACAACATGCAAGCTTCTCGAACAAGTCATTTACCCATGCTGTCCAACTTAAAGCAAGGGGGGAAAAACACTTCAAGTTGAATTCTATGTCGAGGGAAGGGCAAGCATTCTGGGGGAAAAAATAGCAGTTTAAATAAATGACAGCCACTTAAATATTAACTGACCTATGAATTTAACCTACGTACAGATGCTACAGAGCTTATCGTTGTTTCTCCTTTACAAATAACTTCTAAATATGTATGTCATTTAAACTGCCTGGCCATTAACATTTAAGAATGACTGAAAATTACATCCCAACATTTAAGACTAAATTATGAGCTTGATTAAAGGCTTTGGAGCCCAGGCAAGCAGATTTCAATATCTTGAAGTGCCATTTACCCATCCGCAAGTCCCCACCCCCCCGCCCAAATAAATTAGGGGCTGACTTCCTGAGTGCATTTTTTGTTTTGATTTTTTTAAGGCATAAAATGTCTTGTAACTCATAACTTTCTTTACTACCAGCTTGAGAGATGCCACAGCGCATGCGGGACACCACACCAATCTCCAACCAAGGTTTAAAAGGCTGCCAACCACGTGGGGACCCGATGGTAACTTTCCCGCCTTCTCGATGCCCCCAAACTCCCCAGGACTCGAGGGGCTTCCCCTCCCCTGGCTCCGGGCCGCCTCCTCCGCCCCCCAGCCTAGGACGAGGCCGAGGCCGCCGGGCCGGAGTTGCAACCGCCGCCTCTATCCCCTTCGTCTCCGGCCGGGGTGCGTGGACCCAGACGGGAAGTGAGGTGGGGGTCTGGGGCACAGGCATTACCTGTCGCCGGAGCCCGGCAGCGGGGATCGCCCCAAGGAAGGCAGAGCCGGGAAGCCGTCACAGCTCCGCTGGCAGAAAGGTCGGCTCCTGGCCGCTCTTCAGGGTCCAAGCCCGCAGCGGAGCCAGCCCCGCCGCAGACGCAGATAAAGCGCCGGACTCCCAGCCCCTCCGCCCCCAGCCTCGCGGCCCGTTACGCAGCGTCACGCGCACGCCTAGCGCCCGCTCAGGATTTCATTGGCGGACCCAGGGGCGACCAGGCTCCGCCCACCGCCCAAGGCAGCCCCGCCCCTTCCCGGGCTCGAGGGTACTCAGAGCGAGAATCCCCCGCTTGCCCTCGTCGCGGTGCGGGGGAGGTTTGCCTGGCCCGAGCAGGTCGTGACGGCAGCGACAGAAGCTTGCTTTCCGTTCCTGCCCCCGCGATCCAAAGTGCGGCAGATAGAGGACAGAGAACTTGCTGCAAGTCCGTAACGGCACCCCGCGTAGTAGCACGGGACCGGGGAGAGTGGTGCCTCTTCCAGGACCAGCGGAAGCCGCTTCTAAAACAGGAGCCTTGCGGTTCTTACTGACCCTCTAGAGACAAAAATTGAAGCATTAGTCAGAAGCGTTTGTCATGGGATGCCTCTTTGTAAACTATACTCGATTGGGTGCTCTTCAGCACGTGCACACTAGATTGAGACAGTAAGATCCTTGAAATAATGGGGCAATTAACTAAAAAGGGGACTTAAAGGAAAAATAATGATGCAGAGAGATTTAGGACATAGATTAGCTAGAACAGATAATCGCTTAGGTTTTACGAAGGCAGAGGTAAATTTAGAGTAAAGGAGGGTGCAAAGGGAATGAGGGGAGCAGGCACTGAAGCGCGAAGCCTGCCAACCAGTGCAAGCTAGCCGGCCAGCCTGGTCCCTCAGCCCTTGCTCCAGACTGAGATGGCCACCCATGGCCGGGGCACGCTTCCCCTTCATAACGAAGAGGATGGACACGCACCCGCCCCCCCGGAGCAGGCAGCGCTGTTCAGTACCGGCATTCAGTCGAATTCAGCCCTGGCAGTCTTTGGCAACCTGCCCAGTTTGCCTCTTGCACAACCGTCATTTCTGCTTTTGCCAACTGGAGGACCGTGGGACATGGTAGGTCCCAGTGGCTTTTGTGCTTTGCCTCTCCACTCCCATTAGCTAAAGAGCGGTAGGAACACAGGGACTCCTTTCCCTTAAGACTATGCTGGCCACCTTCCATATACACTAAGAAGACTCTTGTTTTTTCCTTTGTCTCATTTATCCATTCAAAAAAATACTGATTGTGTTTTGTTGGTGGTGCTAGGGGTATAGCAGTGAATAAAACAGAAGAACCCCTTGTATTTAGAAGCTTACGTTTCTAGTGGAAAAAATAAATGATGAAACAAGTAAATGAGATAATTGCAGGTGGTAACAAATGTTGAGAAGAAAGCAAAACTGCTCAGGGAAGGACTTGTTGAGGAAGTGATCTGAGCTAAGACTTAAATGAGGAGATGGAGCCAACTATGCCAACTATGGAAAGAAAACATTCTACACCAGTGATTTTTAACCTTTTTCATCTCGTGGCACACACAAATTAATTACTAAAATTCTACAGTACACCAAAAAATAGATATTTTGTTACTGATCTGATAAAAAAAATAGGTATAATTTTGATTCATTCACACCAGATGGCTATTGTTGTGTCATTTTTTTTTTTGACAAGCTACAGGAAAAGAGGTCACTGCCCCTGATTAAGTAGTCAGGTATTACATGTTTTAAAAATTCTTGTGGCACACTGGTTGAAAACTGCTATTCTAGACAAGAGGAGAATGAACGTAAAGGTGTTGATGCTAAAAAGTTTGGCTTGTCTGAGGAAAAGAAGACCAGGAAGCCTGAAGGGCCATGTGGAGGGTGGGATATTGAGGTCAGTTAAGCAAGAACTTAATCATGTTGGATTCTTTTTTGTTTTCTCCAGGGTTTTTTTTTTTTTTTTTTTTATATATCCACCTGTTTTGTAGAGAATGACTTGGAGGAGAACAGAAATGGAACAAGGAGAAGCCAAAGAAACAATAGGAAGCTATTGGACAAGTTCATGGGATAGATGATGGTGAACTGGATTAACGTGGTTGCTATGGAAATAGAAGTTGAAGAATTTCAGAATATTTCCTGAGCTGAAGATGTGAAGAAAAGTAGTAAACAAGATGACTACCAGGGTATTTTCTCTTAAGTGAATGGGAGGATAACAATGCCATTTACTTCAAGGGGAAAGACCATTTAACATGGTTGGTGGGCCTGTGAACGCCTCTGCCTTTACTAAGCCTCTCCTTGGGATCAAGGCTTGGTAAAATTCGAATGTTGGCTTCATCATATTACAAAAAACCCCTGTACAGAACTTGTACTAGTTGGTAGGGATATCAACATGAATAAGAATAACTTTATTGGGAAGATAGGTAATTAAGCCACTTTAGGACACTAAGTGTTGTAATAAAAAAAAGGTAATGATATACTCTGGTTTCTCTTCAGATCATATAAATCTTTTGCAAAAAAAAAAAAAAAAGGTAATAAAATTGCCTACCTAACAGAGTCATTAAATGAGTTGATGCCTACAAAGCTTCAAGTTCAGACACGGGCATGTAGAAGTGCTCAATAAATATTAATTTATTTCATAGTTTCCTTCATTGAAGTTCATTGTTCTTATTTATATCATTATTCTCTGGATACAGTGAGAGCAGAAGGAATGACGATTACCACCCGCGTTCTAGGAAAGGAAATGTGGAAATGGGGGAAGGCTGACTCTAGCTTTCTGAGCCAGGAGGAGGAGGACTTCAGTTGGGCAGCAAGGAAGGAAGGACATTCCAAGCAAAGGAAAAACGAGGTCAAAGGCCAACAAGACAAAGAGGGACTAGACCATGGAGGAAACAGGAAGATAGTTGAGTATTGCAGAAGTGTAGAGTACTTGCTGAGAAGTGGAAAGAGATAAAGTTGGTGTCGGGGCTTAAGAAGTTTGTAGGCCATCATAACATAACACAACATAACATAACATAACATAACATAACAAATATTACATAACGTAACATAGCATAGCATAGCATAATATACCCAGACTTCCACAGACAGTGGGGAGCCAGTGAAGGTTGATAAGCAGGAAAGAGATTTGGGCTACTGTACTGGAGGGAGATGCAACTGGAGGTGGAGAGATCAAGCAGAAAGGCATTGCAGTAATAGAGGTGAGAAAGGATAAAGGCCTAAAGTAGGGTACGAGCAAGTGGGATAGAAAGAAGGAGACTATTTGGGAGAAATCTGAAGAGACAATTGATAGAATTAGACAGTTTTTGGATGTGGCCGTTAAGGATGTATCCAGGATTTCTGGCTTAGGAGGCTGGGTGTATGGAATTAATGCCAACTGAGGTAAGAAAATGCATTTGAAGTAAGAAAATGAGTTAAGGAGTAGGAAAAAGCTTTACCTGGGTTAATATTTAAGCTGAACTAACAACCAAGGTTTGTTTTTGTTCTACAATAAACATTTTTTTCACATTTTTTTCTGATTATGAAAATAATGCATACTTATCGCAGAAAACAAAATCAAATACAGAAAAGCACAAAGATAAAAGCCATCCAATGTCCTACCACGCAGAGAAGCAGCTAAATGCTGATGAGGGGAAAGGACAACAGCCTGAGCCTGGGGACGGAGCCCTTTTGCAGGAAGGCCCTGGGAGCCGGGAAGGGAAACTGAACAGGAACAGAACCAGGCGGCTGGTGGTTGTTTTTCAATCCCCACCAGCAAATACGCTCATTGATTTTGGGGAGGAGGAAGGAAGAGAGAGAGAGAGGGAGAGAGAGAAACATTGATGTGAGAGAGAAACATCCAACAGCTGCCTGCCTCACGCACCCAGATGGGGACCAAACCAGCAACCTTTGGGTGTATGAGGCAACATTCCAACCAACGGAGTCACCCGGCCAGGGCCCAAACCAGGTTTTAAAACACAAACATCTTCGTTCTTCAAAGGTTCTCATCTCTGTTAGTGATACCAAACAAGCAATAAGTCTTTATTCCACCTAAGTTTGGGTAGGTTCTCCACTGGTACTCAGGCTTTGTGAAAACATAGGCTCACTTAGAGTCAACGTTCAGGGACTAAGATAGGGACAATGAAGCAAGAGTATAAATCTGGACAACCTTAATTGGCCCTGAAAACACGTGGAGAGGTGGAATCCTGTCTTGTTTCTGTATTGTGGAAGAACTCAGCACAGTATGTGTAAGTCACCTGGATAAATGTATTGGATGAATTTAGTGAAGCCAACCAACCGAGGGCGTAAGTCCCTAGACTGTGGGTGGATCTCAAACAAAACAGAAATCGGACATCATTCCTTCTCTTATTGATTCAGTTCTCTCACGTGCTGTGTCATCACTTGTTTTTCTACAAACAGAATTCTTTTTTTAAAAGATTTTATTTATTTACTTTCAGAGAGAGGGGGAGGAAGGAAAAAAGAGAGGGAGAGGAACATCCATCAGTTGCCTCTCACACACCCGTAACTGGGGACCTGGCCTGCAACCCAGGCATGTGCCCCGACTGGGAATCAAACCCATGAAATGTTGGCAAGATAAAAGGTATGGTATAAATACATGATAATATACAAATTACATGTTTTCATTTTATTCCTCATCCAACAGATCATCAGCCAAAAATCTAGACACATGCAATAATACTTAAATTGTCATTTCTGACATTTTACTTTTCTTTAAGTCATAGAAAAACTATAGCTATCCATCTATTTTCCCATTTGGTTGTTATAAGTATTTATTTGTTGAGGTAGAGGAATAGACCTTATTTGATAGTCTGTTAACTTGATATATAACTTTTAAAGACTTAATGATAAGACGTGAGCCTCAATTTGTTTTTTTATCCTCACCACATAAATATTATCGGTGGGCCTATATACAGCATGTGTGTGCTGCCTTGTTTACAGTTCTTTATATACTTTTTAACGACCTACTTCAACTTCCCACATACAATCACATGCACATACACACACACACACACACACAATTCTGTATTGCTTCAGGAGGAAAGAGATAGTCTTACCTGTTCTTGATTCCTGTGTCATGTCTATCACAGTGAGTGTAGTCCCCTATACATTTCGACTGTAACTGAATTACATATATAGGAAGTTGGAGGTATACCTGAAGAGATTTCTCTAGGTATGGTAGGTTAAAGATGTCCAAGAAC